CCCCCCAGCAATGTTGACTTTCTAGTCCCCCCAAGTAGCACGAGATAGTAAACGCCCGATTAAACTTTTAGCAACTACATGCCACGGCAGACATGGACCTTGGCCTTTTTAACATGTCACCTGCAAAATTGGCTCTTTTTAAAGGCAAACGGAGTTTGGTGCGTAGGCAGGGAAAACCGGATGTAAAATGGTCGGTTTAACTCGAATTTGTCTTATCCAGATGAGCTAGGTTTTCGAGGTCATCAGCAACTCTGGAATATGAGTTATAGTCACGGCTGAAGTAACTAATGCTGGACTGATAGTTGAAATTTTCCATAACCACATGAGTATACCTCACATTTCCATGCTTCCCAAGAGTTATTCTCATCTCGGCTGGACTGTACTGTAATGTCGGCCTTGCTTGGGTCGCAACAGTACCTCAAGTGGGGCTCGAACCCGGTTAGTACCGAGTATATGCTCCACATTACCTACCCGTCTCATTGTGGAAAAATTCAAATCTAATTCGAATCATTCATGCCTTTATTGAACTAGACCTCTTTATTGTATCTGGAGGTGTACCACTTTTGGACGTCTCTAGTTCACCACTGGAAGGCCATAGTAAATTTGGCATTAGGAACAATACTTAAAACCCTTGGCAAAGGCCAGCAGATATCACCCGCCGTGATTAGATTCCTCTTTATTTATTTTTTTCCTCAGTCCTACCAACTTGTCAACTTTCCGCACTAGATTGGGACACAACATTTTGATTTATTCATTTTTGTACCCTTCAAACTTTCCCTTGTTTTGCAGTTATGTTGGCCCGTCTGCATTTGAGGAACCCGAAGAGCCCGACTCTCGACCTAATTTCGACGTTGCGCCTCAGGCTGCTGTGACTGCTCAAGGGGCGCCAGTACGCTTTCTTGTTCGTATCAGTGGAAAGCCAACGCCCGAGGTGACATGGCTTCTGAACGAGGAGCCCATCATCCCGGTATGTGTCTCCGTGCCGTGAGGCCTTTTGATCGCTTGACGAAATGAACTTCAGATAGTCGTTCAACTTTGTGCTAAAGGCGATTCGGAAAATAGGACTTAACATCATGCCTTTAGGACTAGATAATGTTGCTATGGTGTTTATCATCACGTCATGCTGTGTCGCTGAGGCTTAGGGAGTGCCTTTCAGCACATGGACTTATATTTATTTAATATATTTCGCTCTATTTGCATGGCCTAGCAGAAGCTATAATAGCTCATCTGTGCTACCAGTAAGCTAGTGGATCGGCTGAGAAATTACTATTATTAATTATTAATTTTGATCACTAGTCATGACAACTAGCCATTCTTGTTAATCTTGTTCCAGGACTCTATGACGAAGATATACGGCGACGGAGCCATCAACTACCTTGAGATTGGGCGCTGCATGCATGAAGTGGGAGCGAATAAGCTTCGTGTGGTCGCCAGAAATGCTCTCGGTGAAGCCAGTGCCGAGACCGTTCTGACCGTTGCGAACAGTGATCAAGCTCGACCCGATCTAAAACACGTGGCACCAGGTTTGTGGAATTGGTATCCGCCTCACAAGCCTAATATTGGTTTTACTACCACATGCTTGCCACATGCCTGTTCGTTACTAAGCCGGCGGCGACGGGCTAGCATTCTTGCGACGAACTGAGTTGGATAGAATTCTAGAGGGATTGGGAGACATGGTATGTAGGCCAGTACTGTCATGACACAAGCTAGGGCAGCCGAATTCGTCCTCTAAATCAGAAATTTTGGTCGAGCCCAGTCAGCATGTCGATCTTTTGCAGGCTTTATCATCATATCGCCAAATGGCTGACAAAAAGTCGGTTGCTATGTTTTCGGGCCATGAAGCTGACGGACTCGAGTGGTAATCCACACAAGACGACAGATATACAGGCGTCGTGAGGAAAAATGACAGACGCCTCAGAGTAGTATCAGAGGTACAATGCCGATGTAGTGTTGAAACATCTTGGAATATTGTCAACTACGGTTTTTTCCTATTCTCATTAACGTTTGAGATGCTGCACATAATTCTTGGTGTAACTGGGCGAAACCAAGGAGGTCTTCGCCCTTCAAAACTTTCCGAGGTCATGCTATCCGAAACT